CCATGGTCATGGAGGACGTCAAGCTCAATTGGTATAGCATACTACACAAAAACATTGTTCTACATGCTACTTTGGTGAGTAGCGACTGGGGTCTTAAAAGCTAGATGGCACTAGATCTTCATCTGGAGCAAAGAAGAATGAAGAAAACCAAAGAACATGGAAACAATTAGTCTAAGGGACAAGTGGACAATGCAAACCTCAGCCTATATGACCATGAGACCAGAAGAACTAGATGATGCCTGGCTACCACTGTAAACCACTTGGAAAGGGATCAGTGTAGGAGATCCTGGATAGAAAAGGAAAACATTGTGGAATAAAACTCAAAATTATTAAAAAAAAAAAAAAAAGACCAGGTTTACCAGTCTGATAGAGCCTGGTGAAGCCCCTTGAGAGTATGGCCCTTAGTTACCCTTCAGGTCTGGAACTGAACTCACTCCTGTGGCTTCTAGCCAAACAACAGACAGACATATAGGGTGAATATTTACACCAGGTAGATATACTCCTAAGAACATCAATCATGGGAGAACAGAAGGGCAGTATTTGCACAGGGAGACAGCTCAGGGGACAGGAATGCATAGGAAAGAAGGACACAGGGAGGAAGTGGGAAGAGAGCTGTTACATTGTGGGGACTGCAGTCAATGTCATGAAACAAAATGTATATGAACTGCTAAATGGGAAATGAACTTGCTTTGTAAATATTTACCCAAACCACAATAAAAATTTCAAAACAAGAGCTTGAAGCTATACCCCAATAAAAAGAAGTGCTTGTTACTGTAAGTCACTGAACTTTGAGGAAGTTTCCATGCTGCAAAGCTGACTTACTCTCTAACTGTGATGCATTTTAGATCTCCAGTTAGAGACCTTGTCCTTGAATAAAAGATCTTTGAATTATATGAAGAAAAAAAAAGTGAATGAAGGCACTTGTGTATCTTTTAAATTAAAATGTATTATTGTTATTATTACTACTATTCTCTGAGTTAATGAGCTTTTTAGTACTACCTAATCAGTGACAGGGAGCTCTGGTAGCATAGTGGCTAAGGCACTTGACTGCTCACCAGAAGGCTGGCGGTTCAAACCCATCAGCCACTCCTCGGAAGGAAGGTTGGGCAATCCTACTTCCGTAGTGATACTGCCTCGGAAACCCAAGGAGGGGTCGCTATGAGTCAGGGCTGACTCGACGGCACATAACAACAACAACAACAACAATCAGTGACAAGTCCTGACACACTGGACTAAAGCTTCTAACACACTAACTGTTGTTGTTGTTGCTATATGCCATCTAGTTGGCCCTGACTCATAGCAACCCCTCCTTGGGTTTCCGAGGCAGTATCACCATGGAGGTAGATTGCCCAACCTTCCTTCTGAGGAGCGGCTGGTGGATTTGAACCACCAGCCATCTGGTTAGCAGTCAAGTCCCTTAGGTACTATGCTACCAGAGCTCCTAACACACTAACTAGAGTTGCCTATTCACATCCCATCCCCACAGCTTCCTTCTACTTCATGACCTCAGTCAGTCAGTAGGCATTCTGGGAAGGGACGTTACAGAGAAATAACACACGTTTAAGTTTAAGGAGTCTGGACTGACAGGACTCTGGCATAGAGAATTTCTGAGCTTTGGGAAGGCCCATATCCCATGCTGGAGGGCAAAGAGGAGAATCAGACAGAAGGAAAGAGAAACACCGACCCTAACCTTCAGGTGAATGGATGATAGAACCTCAAGATTTTGGGAGATCTGAGAGCAGAAGAGGCTCGTTCCTCCTTCCATGGGAGGGTGGCCGGATGCCAGTCCCCCATTGCATTGTGGGACCAGAGCAGGAGAGCAGAGTTATAATAGGTGCACGATGTGTCCTTAAGACAAGCCTGAAACTGCTACCCAGCATAACATAGGGCAGAAACACTTCTAGAAGCAGTCACAGAAGTTAGCAAAGGGAGAGATGGATTTGCTAGAACACTATAGTGGAAAAAAAAATCAAGTACGAGAGCTAATGCAGCCAAGACATGCACAGAGCAAGAACAAAAGCCCAAATGAGAATAAAGGAATGAGGCTGTTTCACAGGTTGCCAGCATGGACCAGTGATGACCCAGGTCAGATGTCTTATGTACAACAGCATGGCAAATTTTAAGTCTTAAGATAACTTAGAAACCACCTCAGGGGAAGGGATCCGGATTTGATGGAGGAATGAAGGTTCGTGAGAGACTCTGTTTGTTATAGAAAAACAAAGTTATGCTTCCTACACATCTGAATTAGAGGTAGGACCCTCATGGGGAAGGCGTGGGTAGTAGGGAAGGCACAGGTATGGAGGGGCACGACACCAGTTGAGGGCAAACCCCAACCCCAACCCATTGCCAAGGGGCCAATTCACACTCACGGCCACCCCCGTATGTTGAAGACTAGAGCTTCTCCATAGGGTGTTCTTGGCTGCAAGCTTTATGGAAGCAGAATGCCAGGCTTTTGTTCCACGACGCCACTGGGTGGATTCGAACCACCGGTCTTTAGATTAGCAGCCAATTGCAAACCACTGGCAACACCCAGGGACATCATATTGAATGCAGGGGAAATAAGCTGTTTTTCATATTTAATGTTAAGATACCGCCTTCTTTCCCATCTCAGCTTTGAGGATGGCAGCAGGCAGACTTGCACACTCTGAGTGGATTGGAGAGCATTCGTATCTAGAAATATGACCAGTCCACGAGAAAAAACCCAAAGACATAGACACTCTGTGTTCTCTGAGGAAATAAGTCAGCCAGAGGTGGCGCTCTCCAAAATATAAGCAGACACCAAGGACCTCTAAACAGAGGAGGAAAGCTTCTATCACAAAAAGAGCAAAGAGAAGAAAGCAATTGGAAAGTTGTACAATTATGCAGAGTAACTTCCTCTGAAAAGATCATCAAAATGCTCAGAAAAATTAGAGAAACTTCTAAAGCCATGAAACAGGATGCCAGTTAAGAAAGAAGAATCTAGGAACGAGGGGAAAAACCTTGGGATTAAAAGCACAAAGAAGAACTTTAGAAATTAGAGGAAAAAGATGAAGAGATAAAACAATAAAGAAAAATATAAGAAAATCAGTGAAGGAGTCCACCATTTGAAAAAATAAGAATTCCAGAAACAGAGAACAGAAAAAAAACAAATGACCAGAAATTATCAAAGAAGTAAGAGAAAAAAAATATCCTAAAATTGAAGGATATGAGTTTAGAGATTGATAGGTCCATTGACTGATCAGTAAAATTGATTAAAATAATCCTATTTTATACATCGGTGCTGCAGACATGTTAGCATTCAGCTGCAAACTAAAAGGTTGGGGGCTCGAATCCTGCCAGAAGCACCTCGGGAAAAAAGATTTGGTGACCTCCTTCCAAACATTGGCCTCTGAAGCCTTACGGAGCACAGTTTCATGACAGCTGGTACTGGTACGTGGAATCTAGTTACACCGCCATGAAAGGTCAGAACCCAGGAAACAAAGAGAAAATCTGAAAAGCTTCCAGAGAGAAACAACAGGTCACATACAAACAGACGAGAGTCAGAATAGCTTCATGTTTCTCCAGCAACATGAGAAGTTGAAACACAATGAAACAGAGCCTTCCAATTTTGAGGGAAAATAATTTGCAATATGGAATGGTGAAACTAATCAACAAACTAACCAAGTGTGAGATTAGCAAGTTTTCAGGAAGCTAGCAGGAGATGTTTCCCAAAAATAAAGCCAAGAAAGAAGATCCAGGGTCCAGAAAGTAGGGCATTTATCTCAGGAGAAAATCAAAGAGGACCCCCAGGAAGTAAGTTGTTTTACACAGACATCCAAGGAGGTCACGAAGTGTAGCAGTAACCAGTTCACTGTTCCAGTGTGGAGCAGGTCCAAATGCCCAGGGAGAGAGATCTCCAGGAAGATAAAGTTAATAAAATATCTCCTGATTCTGAATTTACTTACAGGAGATAAAATACAGTTTTCCACAGTGGTAATTGAATGGCTAATACCGAAAACTGCAAAATTAACAAGTAATGCTACAAGCATATCAAGCCAAAAACCCACTGCCATCAGGCTGATTCTGACTCATAGCGACCCAATTGGGTTTCCGAAGTGATAAATCTTCATGGAAGTAGATAGCCCCGTCTTCCTTCCGCAGAGTGGCTGGTGGGTTTGAACTGTCAGCCCTCTAGTTAGCAGACAAATGCCTTAGGCACTGCGCCACCAAATCTTTTATAAGCATATGACAATGAAAGTAAATCCCAAAAACAGCCAAAAGACATGAGAGTGGTTTCCTTTGGAAAAAGGGAAATAAAGAAAGGGAAGCAGGTAACTCTTGTATTTAATTATAGTCTCTTATTCAAATTTGATTTTTAAAACTATGTGGATGTACAGCTTTCATGAAAATTTGAGCTAAATGTTAAAAAATGAAAATAATATATGTGGAGAGAAACAATGGAGTAAGAATCAGATTTGGAAGTGAGAACCGTATCTGGCTTAACTCTCCAGTTTCTATCCCCATTGTAGCATTCACCCTCTTCCTCCACTCCACCTCTATCAGCTTTATATTTGAGACATTCAAATAAATATACTAAACATTTTCATTTATATTAGCAATGAACCAGAAGGCAGGGAACTATCTGTAAATTTACTTGAGTCATGCAAACCAATGTTTAATCGCAGCACCTCCTCATGTTAGTCATGTAGATGGCATTGAGTAAATCACCTCACCAGGCTAAGACTCAGTTTCCCCATCCATAAAATAAAAGAAATGACATTATCTGCCTCTCGGGTTGGTTGCAAGGAATAGATAAGATAAAGGATGCAGAGCACCTAACACACAGTAGGTCCACTTTCCTGTCCTGTGTATACTTCCTTATCCACACCTCTCCTGCTTGAGCGTGATTAGGTTTACTAAGAGACAGACACAGGGGACAGCCAAAGATGTTTTAATAAGGCTCAGGGACCCATGGAGGGCAGACTCAGGGCAGAGCTAGCTTCATTTTTGTGGTCTCAGGCTTCAAAAGCACTAAACTAGGCTCAGTGCAGATCTGGCTGGTGCTTGGGCTTCACGCAGCAAAGCTTTTCATTCCCACAGAAAATATAGGCGATTTCATTCTTGACACATTTCTCACGGCAGGTGCCACGCTGACTCCAGCATTTTCTGGAGCCGCCTAAAACAGAGAATAAAAGGAGGGAGCCAGTGTCAGTCCTGAGGGAAAACCGGTCCTGGGTTTGAGAGGACTCACAGAAGGCCAAAAGTTCCTAGGTGTGCAAAAGGTTCATGCTCAACTGCTAACCTAAAGGTTGACAGTTCAAACCACCCAGCAGCACCACAGAAGGCAATGCCTGGTGACCTGTTTCTGTTAAGATTACAGCCTAGAAAATCCTGTGGAGCAGTTCTACTCTATAGCACATGGATGGGGTTGTCATGATTCAGAATTAACCCAACAGCAACTAACAACAGTCACAGACGGCCAGGCAGAGAAAGGGGACCTCAGACGGAGGAGCTTTCTAACAACCAAATGAGCTAGAAAGGACGGCATGGACTAGTAATGAACATTTAATATAGAGTTACTTATGGAACTAAGAGGAGCTCTGGTGGTGCCTAAGGCATTTGACTGCTAAGCAGAAGGCTGGCGGTTCAAACCCACCAGCCACTCCTCAGAAGGAAGGTTGGGCAATCTACTTTTCTAGAGATATCACCTCAGAAACCCAAGGAGAGGTCGCTTGGAGTTGGGTCTGAACTCGACAGCACATAACAACAACAACAACAACATAGAACTAAAATTAAGTGAGGTTTAAGAGAGAGAGCTAGAAAAAAATTTCTGTATAACTGTGTTGTTGTTGTTGTTATATGCCGTGGAGTTGGACCTGACTCATAGCGACCCCTCTTTGGGTTTCCGAGGTGGTATCACTACGGAAGTAGATTGCCCAACCTTCCTTCCGAAGAGTGGCTGGTGGGTTTGAACTGCCAGGCTTCTAGTTAGCAGTCAAGTGCCTTAGGCACTATGCTACCAGAGCTCCTATACACACATATTTTAAAATAAAATACCTATGAATTTCTAGTGGTACTTCCAATTCAAATTTAGAACTCAAGGTTTATACTTAACCTGTATCATTTTTTTTTTTTTCTGCACTGAGAATGTTGGTTTTCAAGATCACAGGGGGTGATAGAATTAGAATATCCCATAATTATTAATCAGGTTTATCCTACCTTACGTACACAATAATACCAGTCCTACCCACCATAACATGATTACTAACACTAGTTAAAATTTCTGCATATGGTCTGCATAGGTTAGCAATTAGTAAAGAATGTTTGCTGCAGGCAGTGTGCTTTTTTTAACCCTTTCATGACCCATGGGACATATAGTGCTCACCTAAATTTTCTGCCTCTGAGGTTTAATGAAGGAGCTCTAGTGGTGCAGAGGTTAAAGCATTTGGCTGCTAGCCAAAAGGTCAGTAGTTCAAATCTACCAGTCACAGTCACTCCCCGTGGCAGAAAGAAAAGGCAGTCTGCTTCCACACAAATTTACAGCCTTGGAAACCCTATGGTTTACAGGGTTAAGGACCCTCTGTATTATAGGGTCCTTATGAATCCGAATGTACTCCGTGGAGGAGGATTTTGGTTTAATGAGAAACTCTCTCACTTTTAAGGAGTTCTGGTAGCTTAGTGGGTAAGGCCTTTGGTTACTAACTAGAAGGTAAGTGGTTCGAACCCACCAGCTGCTCCGCGGGAGGCAGATAAGTCCATCTACTTCCACAAAGATTTCCAGCCTTGGAAACCCAACAGGGGTCGCCATGAGTCGGAATCTACTCCAAGGAATTGGGTTTGGGTTTTGGAGGTTTTTATCTCACTTTTAGTGCATGCTGCCATCTAGTGGGAGCCTGTATAACTGCAAGAATCTGAAGAAGTGGCCTCATCCCAGCCACGCCAGCACGAGAGACCTGTAAGACGTGTGTGCGACTGGTACTACTTTGGGGCGGGGGTGGGGGGAAGGCAGAATTACTGTCATTCCAAAATGCCTCCCATTACTTAAAACACAGAGTTCCAACGAGAAATTCAAAGCAGAAAATAATTCGGTGTTAGAAATATTAAAGAACTATCCATCCGTATGGGATCAAATTGACATCGAGTTGAAAAAGTTGAAAAGTCAGGTGGAAAGTGTGGGGGCAGTGAGTTTATGTTAACGAGGGAGAAACGATTCTGAAAAGGACAGTGACAGTGGTTGCACAACTCAAAGAAGGTAACCAACGTCACTGAATTGTAGAAATTATTGAATTGGTGTATGTTTTGCTGTAGTATTTTCAACAATTTTAAAATATTATTTTCCACTAAAATAAAAGACACCAGAGCTTCTTGGTGAGGTTGTAGATTCCAGTTTGGGGGCAGGGAATGTACAAGACAGCCTAAAACCCTCTGTAGCATCAGATACCAAGGAAGCTATCCAAGGCTGATGGGGATTTACCAAAAAGACTCAGAAGCCAAAGGTCCCACTTGACATTTGTTCTTCAATAAGATTAATAATTGCAATAAAGTCTAATATTTAGGACAAGTCTCTAGATGGTGCAAACAGTTAATGTACTCGGCTACTAACCAAAGGGTTGGAAGTTCAAATCCCCCAGAGGCACCTCAGAGCTGGTGATTAACTTCTGAAAAATCAACCATTGAAAATCCCATGGACACAGTTTAACTATGACACACAAGTAGCCGTGAACTGGAACCAGCCAATGGCAACTGGTGGTGAACAATATTTAGGAAATAATATGTAGGAAAAATTACTCAACCTCAGGAGTTAATAGGCAAGTAATTGATTACTTACAAACTAGTAAATAAACACAGAGTCATGCATTTATCCTGCTCACCTCTCTAAACTACCTTTGAGTAACCAAATAGTACATGAGGGAAGCATCCCTTTTGTAAGTCTATCTATGTCTGCACTGCCATCAAGTCAATTCTTACTCATAGTGTCCCCCATTGAGTTTCCAAGGCTTATTGGGTTTCCAAGGCTGTAAATCTTTATGGAAGCAGATTGCCTCACATTTCTCCCATGGAGCAGCTAGTGAGTTTGAACTGAGACCTTCTGGTTAGCAGCCAAATGCCTTACCCACTATGCCACCAGAACTCCTCTTTTACAAGTAAATTAAACTCTAAAATTCACTGCCCTCAAGTCAGATCCGATTCATAGCAACCCCTCCTTGGATTTCCGAGGCAGTATCACTATGGAAGTAGATTGCCCAACCTTCCTTCCAAGGAGCGGCTGGTTGGTTTGAACCTCCAGCCTTCTGCTTAGCAGTCAAGTGCCTTAGGCACCTATAAGTAGTCCACCTAATAAATGAATGTTCTTCCCTGCACAGCTGCACCTTCTCACTTCCTTCAAATCTCAGGTCAAACGTCCCCTTCTCTGAGCTTTCCTTTAAAATGCAGCCCCACCTGTCGTGACACTTGCTGCCTCTTCCCTCCTTACTCTGCTCATTGACTTTCTCAGGAGAATGTGTTCTCCTAGAGGAAAAGAATTTCGTTTGTTTCCTGGCTTGTTGATTTTGTTCACTGCTCTATCTCCGGCACCAATCATGGTGCTGGCACATGGAATCCACTCAACGATATTGACACAGTGCGTGACTGGCTTAATTAAGTAATGCCATGTGAACTTTTCCCTAAATGCTGCTGTCATCCTGGGAAGGTTACCAAACACCAAACCAAACCAGTTGCCCTGATGTCAAGAGAAGGGGAATGAAAGGAGAACCGCTGAGAGACCAAAGCTTTATCCAAAGCAGAATGAATTAATCCAACGGTTTTAAACCAGAAAAGATGGATATAATTTACTGCTGAATCTAAGGGCAGCCCTGTGCCCTTTCCAATGCTCCGCTTGCCTAGCAGCAGGATGGGAACGTCTCGGGGAAAAGTTCAGATAAACTACAGAAAAAGAAGCTGCATTTGCCTCACACCAAAATTTCATTGTGTTTGATGTTGATCCCTTGACTTCATGTTTCATGTCAAATTGAAAAATGAGTACATTGAAATTCAGAGCAACCAGGTGGTCATCTGGGGTGAGGGCAACCCCACAGAGCTAGTCAACAGTGGGGCAGGTTCTGACCTTGGATTTGGGGGCTCTTCCTTCTTCCTCCATGAGTCTTGTTTCCCACCGTCAGTCCCCTGCCTGCCCATCCCCCCAGCCCTGGGTCTCACCTGACCAGGACCCATTCATTCTCCACTCTCTCCCCATCCCCTGAAGAGGTCTAGGTTACCTGGAACAACCTGGAACAAGAGCAGGAGGGCAGCCAACGTTAGCAATAAAAGTTTCATGACTGGAGGTAGCCCAAGTGCTGTGTAGGCTCGGAGGAGGTGACAAGTCAATGGGGAAGAGCTCTGGACTGGCTGGCACCCTCTAATCAACTGGGACACATGTCGCTTACACGTGCCCTCAGCTGCCCATGAGTGCAGCCTGCCCTGGAACATCCTGTCTTCCCGCCTACTCCTCGATCACCATCCCAGTACACCCGAGCCCACAATGTGGAGACACACATCCCAAGCTGAGACACCTCTCTTTGTCCCCTTCACCATTCTCTGGATGCTGAAAAACAAAACAAAACAAAAAGCCAAACCCACTGCTATTGAGTGGATTCTGACTCATGTTGTTGTTGCTAGGTGCTGTCTCCGACTCATAGTGACCTTATGCACAGCAGAACAAAACACTGCCCAGTCCTGTGCCGGCTTCACAATCCTTGCTATACCTGAGCCCATCACTGCAGCCACCGTGTCAATCCATCTCGTTGAGGGCCTTCCCCTTCTTCATTGACCCTCCACTTTACCAAGCATGATAGCCTTCTTTGGGGAATGGTTCCTCCTGACAATGTGACCAAAGTGGGTGAGACGAAGTCTGGCCATCCTTGCTTCCAAGGAGCATTCCAGCTGCACCTCCTCCAGGACAGATGTGTTAGTCCTTTTAGCAGTCCAGGGTACTCTTAGCATTCTTCTCCAGCACCACAACTCAAAAGCATCAACTCTTCTTCAGTCTTCCTTATTCATTATCCAGCTCTCACATGCATAAGAGGCAATTGATAATACCATGGCTTGGATTAGGTGCACCTTAGTCTTCATGGAGACATCTTTGCTCTTCAGCACTTGAAAGAGGTCTTTTGCAGCAGATTTTCCCAATGCAATACATTATCTGACGTCTTGACTGCTGTTTCCATTGGTGTTGATTGTAGAACCAAGTAATATGAAGTCCTTGACAACTTCAATTTTTTCTCCATCCACACAAACCAAACCAAACTCACTGCCATCAAGTCAGGTCTCACTCATAGCAAGTCCTCCTTGGGTCTCTGAGGTGATATCACTACGGAAGTAGATTCCCCAACCTTCCTTCCGGGGAGTGGCTGGTGGGTTTGAACCACCAGCCTTCTGGTTAGCAGGCAAATGCCTTAGGCACTATGCCACCAGAGCTCCATCCATAGTGAAGCTACTTGTTGGACCAGTTGTGAGGATTTTGTGGTTTGTTGTGTTGTTTTGTTTTTTAGTGTAATCCATACTGAAGGCTGTAGTCTTTAATCTTCATCAGTAAATGCTTCAAGTCATCCTCACTTTGAGCAAGCAAAGTTGTATCATCTGCGTATCACAGGTTGTTAATGAGTCTTCCTCCAATCCTGATGCTATGCTCTTCATATAATCCAGCTTCTCGGATGATTTGCTCAGAATATTCTGACTCATAGCCACCTTATAAGACAGAGTAGAACTGACTCACAGGGTTTCCGAGGCTGTAAATCTTTATGGCCTAATCTTTCTCCTGCAGAGCAGCTAGTAGATTCGAACCACCCACCTCTTGGTTAGCAGTCAAATGCTTTAACTACTGGGCCACCAGAGCTCCTTGGGTGCTGAAAGGCACAGAAATGGAAAGCTGCAGATCTCTAAGTTTTCACCACCAACAAAGGCCAAGCCAACTGAGTTACACCTAAGGATTCTCAGGGTGCCCTCACTGAGCCGCAACTCTTGTTTGTTTGTTTTTGTTTGTTTTGTTCACTGCATTGTCTCCAGCACGTATCACAGTGCCTGGCACATGCAATCTACTCAACAATATTTATTGAGTGAGGAAATCATCTAATTCACACTTGGGTCCAAGGCCTCTGCTCTCAATAGCAACACCCAATGTGCTGTATGGCCCTTGCAGACCCTAGGTCCTCTTGGCCTGCTCTTTGTACAGGCAAAGGAGCTCTGGTGGCTCTGTGGTTAAAGCATTGGACTGCTAACCAAAAGGTTGACAGGCCAAACCCATCATATGCTCCATAGAAGAAAGATGAGGCAGTCTGCTTCCATAAAGATTTACAGCCTTGGAAACCCTCTGGGGCAGTTCTACTCTGCCCTATGGGGTTGCTGTGAGTTGGACTAGACTCAATGGCAGTGGGTTTTGTATGAGCAAAGCACAAATATTTGCTCTTGTTAATACAAAGCCTTAATATTCTCCCTCGGAACACTTGAATGATCCTCACCACTTCAAGATATTTCTGGAATCGGGTACATGGGGTGCAGGAGTCGAGGAGATGCCTTGTGGTTCCTTAGGTCCAGGGGTTTAGAACTGGGTGGAAGAACTTTTAAGTCAGGTCATGATATAGTCTGACTTTGCTTTTTAAATAGACTCGGCTAGCTTTGTGAGACCTCTCCTTGCTAAATGGTGGAAGGGAGACATGTCAGCTCAGGGGTGTGTGCCTCCAAGCTGTGGGCTCGAGGGGGTGGAGCTGTGCCCGGGGGCAGCTGAGGGCACGTGCGGGTGGTGAGTGTTCCAGTCGCTCAGAGGCAACAGGAGCCAGAGAGACCAAAGCTCTCCCCCATTTGCCTTGTCCTTGCATCGGACTTGCGACCTCACCTTGGGCCACCTCCAACCATGAGGCTCCTTCTGCTGACATTTGCTATGCTGCTGCTCATGTCCCAGCTCACTCCAGGTAACCTGGGCATCTTCAGAGGACGGGCAGGGTGTGGCGACTGTGGCCTGGCCAGAGAATCCCGAAGGTTGGGGTCAGGCTGCCAGGCAACATGAGGTCACCATTCAGAGCCACATGGAGGAGGACCTACCTGGCACCCTGAAGCTGCCTTCACCAACAGCAGGTGCCAGATCTTTGATCCGAGCTGCAATGTCCAGACCTGCTTACTGAGCCATCCCCGCCATCTTCTGCTCAGCTCCAGGGAGCTTGCAAAGGTGGCCTAGCAGAAGAGTGGAAGGGGGTGGGGACAGGAGAAGCAGGAAAAAGGTGAGGGTAATAGTGGCCCTTTTGCAAAATCATCCTGAGAATTATCTAGGCTTTGTGAAGAGTGCGGCTGCCTTAACAGGAGAAAAATTCTCATATTTGCTATTGCTGGCTCTGTCAGACCCCGTGCTGGGAGCTGAGCTCACAGAAAAAAATGACATGGCCCTGGGGGAGTGCACTGTGGAAACAGGGTGACCTGAGCTGTGATAGAGGGAAGCTAGGGGCCTAGGGTGTGCCCAGGAGGGACCAACCCAGCCTGAAAGCCGGAGAAGTCTCCTGGGGAAGGGGGGACAGGTCTTGAGTCCTGAGAAATGAGTAGATATGAGAAGGGGCAGAGGAGGTAGAACTAGGAAAGGTGTCCCAGGCAGAGAGATTAATTTATGCAAAGGCCCAGATGGGGGAACGAGCATGACACCTTCAGGGAACCGGCATAAAATAGAGGAGTCAGTTAGGACAGCAGCTGGCAAAGGATTTGAGTCCTGGGCTCGATGGTTTTGAATGCTAGGTGAGGGAGCCATGGAAAGGTCTAAGCCGAGAAGGGCCCTGGTCACTGCCCATTCCACTAACTGAGCACCAGCTCCCCACCTTCTCCTGGGCATCTAGCAGACACTTCTGCCCACCCTGAGATTGTGTGGATGTTTGTGTGGTAAATATAAAGGACCCTGGGTGCCAGTCAGCCACTAACACAAAGATTGGTGGTTCAATCCCACCCAGCAGCTCTGAAGAAGAAAGCCCTGGCAAACTGCTTCCGTAGCAGGTTTGGTTTTGTGGTTTTCATGGTTAGTGTATAGGTAGCAAAACATTTGCCATTTCAGCAATCTTCACACGTTCAGTGACATCAGTTATGTTCATCAAGTTGTTCAATTATCACCCTCAACCATTCTCAAACCTTTCCATCACCTTTCACAGAAGCTCGGTGTCTCCACCACCTTTCACAGAAGCTCGGTGTCCCCTAAGTATTGTGTTTTCCGTTCTACCTGCCTCCTAGTAACCACTAAAACCAAAACTAAACCCACTGCCCTTGAGTCTATTCCACCTCATAGCCACTCCCTGGGGCGGAGCAGAACTGCCTTATAGGGTTTCCAGGTCTAAAAATCTTAAGGGAAGCAGATTGCCTCATCTTTCTCCCAGAGAATGCCTGGCAGGTTCAAACCACTGACATTTTAATTAGCAGTCCAATACTTTAACTATAACCCCACCAGAACTCCTTAAACCAAACAAAACCAAACCCACTGCCTTCTAATGGGATCCAACTCATAGCCACCCCTCCTTGGGTTTCTGAGGCGGTATCACTACGGAAGTAGATTGGCCAACCTTCCTTCCGAGGAGTGGCTGGTGGGTTTGAACCTCCAGACTTCTGGTTAGCAGTCAAATGCCTTAGGCACTCCACCACGAGAGATCCCACCAGAACTCCTTAGTTACCACTAATAAACTTTACATACTTGCCTGTTGTAGATATTTCACATCAGTGGGATCATACAACAGTTGTCCTTTTGTGACTGATTTATTTCACTCAGCTTAATGTTTTAAGATTCATCCCTGTTGTGGCATTCATTTTTCTTTATGGCTGAGTAATATTCCATTGAATGTATATTCCACATTTTGTGTATCTATTCACTTGTTGATGAACATTTAGGTTATTTCCACCTTTTGGCTATTGTGAATAATGCTACAATGCACATGCATCTGTCTGATTTCCTGCTTTTAATTCTTTTGTGTATATGCCTTGGAGCGGAACTACCTTAAGGCATTGGCTGCTAACCAGAAGGTTGGTTGTTCAAACCCACCAGCCATCGAATGGAAGGAAGACCAGGCAATCTACTTCCATAAAGATTTACCCCACCTTGGAAACCCAATGGGGGTTACTATGAGTTGGAATCGACTCAGTGGCCGTGGGTTTGGTTTTTGGTTTTCCACAGGGTCAGGATGTGATTGAATTTCCTCAAATTATTTCTTTGGGGATTGCAAACTGGTGATAATCTTTTATGTTTTCTTCAGTAGTTAGCTGGAACAGTTCCGTAAAAAAGACATTCCTTATAGTCTACTATTTGGTTATTCAGCAATACA